TCTTTTCTTCGATTCTCCCTAACCATAAATGATTTTGGAGAGTTCTTGGACATTTTGGAAAGCTTGTAACATTCTCTACAATCCATCTTTGAAATGAATTTTGAGATTACACTTGGAACTATGTGGAAAATTTCCATGAAGATAGGTCAAAATCCTGCCTAAACTAGGGCAAAATTTCACTAAGTTAAAAGTTTCATGGACCCTTGTTCACAAAATCATAACTTGAGATCCAAGCATCTTTTGGGAAAACTTTGGGAATCAAAGTTGTAGAGTTTGTGTAGGACTACAACTTTCATGTTGTAAGTTTTCTTTGAATCCAATTGCATCATTGTGAAAAAGTTGGGAAACGTTGGGAAAAAATAAGAAATTTTCATAACAGAAAATTTCTAAGTTATGAAAATTTTCCATTTTAAACCCTAATTTTCAAAATTAGGTTTCTTGGTGAACAAGTTTCATGTTTTTACACATCTTGATGAAAAATGACCCTTGGCACTTGATTTTGACCAAAAAGTCAAAGTTTGACTTTTCAGTGTACAGTTAATTTTTGATCAGTTGACTGGAAAATTCATATGTCAACCAATGCTTTTGGGATCTTTTGAACCTTGTGATTAGGTAAAGATGATGCCATTGAGTACTTGAATCCATGCTTGAACCCAATTTTCCATTGGCTAGGTGAAAAATCAGAAATTGCCCTTCTGCAGTCAAAACCCTAAAAATGACCATTTTGCCCTTTTGATGATCTGATCAAATTTCTTGAGGAGTTGTGGTCCAAACTTGATCAAATGGTTCATATGAGCCTATAATGCTGTTGTGGATCAAAATTTATGAGGTTTGACTGTAAATTGGCCACAATTGTCTTTTTCCCCAATACAGTTGATTTCTATGTCAACTGTCCAATTGATTGGGCAAAAATTCGATTCAAGGCTTGAAACTTGGTATGTACAATCTTAGAGGTCCAACATGAAGTATGAAAGTCACATTGAGAATTGAAAGTCCAAAAATCCTTGTGCAAACTCAAACCCTAATTTTAGGTCAACAGTGCAAGGAGATGTCTTGAGCAGAGCAAACCCTAACTTGGTCTTGAGTTCAAAGAGTCTTGTGAGGGGAAATTTTGATAAAATGAGAGGGCAAATTTTGGGGTACAACAGTAAGATTCCAATAGATGACACTCTCCAAGTCTGCAGTTGTATACTTTGCTCTATGTGCAATATTTGCAAGCTTCATTGTGAATCGAATAACCACATATTTTTTCAGTGCCTTTATGCTACCAAGTTATGGAGGTGGATTTGTAATTTTATTAAAACCGCTCTCAACATCACTTCAATCGATTCTGTTCGGTGCATGTGCCACATTAGCAGCTCCCCTCAAGGCTCTCTCATCATCTCTGTTGCCATTGTCTATACTCTTTCCTTCTCATGGCAAGTCGGAAATAGGGCTAGGCATCACAATAATATCCCTTCTTTTTATTCTTCTATCTCGTGCATTTTGGCACAAATTAGATTGGATGGAAACATTTATGTCTTACGAGCCTCTTCTTCTATGACAAATTTCTTCCTATTTAAATCTTTCAAGGTTAACATTAACCACGCTCGTGCTCCGAGGGTTATTGAAGTTCTTTGGCACCCTCCGTCTATGACTTGGCTTAAGTGCAACTGTGATGGTTCTTTTGACAACATCTCTAGTGGTTCTGGTGGTATCTTCCAGAATTAGCTTGGTAATTGTATTCTTGCCTTTGCTGAGCCGACTTCGGATCTAAGTTCCTTACATTCGGAATTCTTTGCTGCTTTCAGAGCTATTAAGATAGCTAGAGATCGAACATGGTTGAAGCTTTAGATTGAATGTGATTCCTCCATAATGGTCCAAGTTTTTTCAAAAGAAACTTTGGTTCCTTGGCAATTAGGAAATATGTGGTTTAGGTGTAAAAATATAATAGTTAATATGTCTTTTGTTATTACTCATATTTGTATGGAAGGTAATTCTTGTGTAGAATTTTTTGCTAACTTAGGTCGCACTTCTCATTCGCTAACTTTGTTGGATGCCATCCCCATAGACATTAGATGTGATTTTGTAAAGAATAGATTAGGGATGAGTTTTTTTTTTAATATTTGTTAACTCTTGAGAGGGTTTAGGATGGTCCCCCTATCCTTTTTGTGTATCACCTTTTCTTTTACTCGATTAGCCCTTATTTAGAAAAAAGATTCACTTAGGGTCTGTTTGGGAGTTTGGAGGGGAAGGGATGGGAGGACTTTGAAAATAGATAGGATTGTATACAAAGAATATAAATATTTTGATTGGAAGGATTTTAGAGGATTTGTTTTTCTTCATAGCACACAAAACCCTCTAATTTGGAGAACTCAAAATTTGTATTGGAGGAGAGTTTTGGAGGGTTTAGACTAATTATTCAAATATATATTTTTATTGTTATAGTATTTCGAAAACTAAAAATACACTAAGGATAAACATTATTTTATCATGCTAAATAAAATATTTTTTTTTAAAAAAAACGTTAAAAATTTCTCTATGTTTAAAAAAAATATTTCAAAGAACTCTCTCACCCCCCCCCCCCCCCCCCCCCCCCCCTCCAAACTTCCAAACAAAGCCTTAAAGGAAGACAGTTATTCCTAAGGACCCTAGTAGGCTTTTTGAAAGTTTTATTTTTTTAGGTGGTTCCTCTAAGTCTATAGGGGGTTTGTCTATGATTTGGTCTATTTGGAGGGTTAGGAACGAAGTAGTGTTTTCTGAGCCTACAATAAACGAGCAAGATAAGGAGGAGAAAAATATCTTTTTATCTTGAAAGTGGTTTTTGGAAAAATCTTCTGAGAACTCTTGCACCTTTACAAAATGACTTTAGAACCCTATCTTTCAAATTATCCAATAGCAGATTGAGATCTATTGTCTGGGTTTGAGTGTGGGTATTTCTTTCCTTTTTCGGTAGTCTTTAATTCGGAAATGGAAGTCCTAATAGCTTGAGATCTATCTTTTTCTTTGTTGTGGTATAATATTGAAGGCAATTAGCTTTGGAGTTTTTTGTCCTGGTATTTTTTTTTTATCGTGTTTACTTGGATATATTTTTTGGTACTTCTTGTGTCAATTTTGAGCTTTTGTACGTTGTTGGACACTTTCTTGATTTATCTTTTTATTTTATATATATATATATATATATATATATATATATATATATATATATATATATATATATATATATATATATATATATATATATATATATAGTTATTTTCCTTTCAAAAACTACTTATAGACATAAAGTTGAAGAATCAAAGTGATGTTAGATTATGAGAAAAATTTACATTAACAACTATAAATATTAAACCCTATTTGATCTCCATTAGAATAAGAATGAATTCCAAATTGATTTCAAGTACTTCTTGATATTAGACAAGTACCTATATCATAAAAGGTTCTAGAGGTTTCAATTATTTTTATACCTTGATTGAATACTCCAAATTCCTATAAATTGTTAGCTATATGCAACTTCCTACACATTTATGCATTAGGAAACACTACAATAAATAACACATCTAACGTTGAACGCGAAATGCATTTTTACTTCGGTATTAAGTACAGAGTAAATCAGGTCGTCATAAAAAGTAAAGACTTATTACATCAGTGTTTAAAATATCGAGGTCTAATTTTATTAGCGCATGGGTTCGAACTTCAACTTCGACATTTTTATTATTTACAAAAATTAGTGCCTTTTTTATCTTGGTTTATTAAGAAAACCGAGGGATTATTAGTTTTTTAAAATAAAACTCGTTACATTATTTACATAGAATATTAATAAATAATTTGTCTACAAACTACAATGTTTACCTTGAATATTACATTTTTTTACACAGAAAAAAATTAATTGTCCATGAAGATTATATGATGGATCTTCAATTCTTTGATGGTCTGGGGAAGATCAAATGCATGGGAAACTCTTTTGTCCCAGCAAAAAAGGGTATTCTCTATGGTTTCTGCTTGCATTTGTTTCTGATATGAACAAAAAGAAGGATTAGATAAATAAATAATTTTCTACTCAAATAAATACTTAAGAACACAAACCTTAAACCTAAATAATTTTCTGCTCTTGCAATTCATTGTAGAAAACTATTCATTGCAAACACTCTTGTAAACCTTAAACTCTTCATGATGTTGGATTTTCAAATCCTTGATATTCTGGGAAACAACAAATGATGGATGCATAATATTCTCTATGGATTTTGCTTGCATTTGTTTCTAATATGAACAAAAAAAGAATTACACAAAAAAGGGTTAGATATATAAATAATTTTCGTCTCAAATAAATATTTAAGAACACAAACCTTAAACCCAAATAAGTTTTTGCTCTTGCAATCCATCATAGAGAACTCTTCGTGACAAAGACTCTTGCAAATATTAAAGTGGAGGATAGTTTCAACCGCTTCATGATGTTTCAGAATGCTTTTATAATAAAAGTTATTTATGTTTCACACGGATCACAAATGGTAATGTCTTGAGTGTTGATAGTCATGAAATGGACGACAAGAATTTGATTAAGGAATTGATAAATATCCTCAATTTTAACGCTACACATGTTCCCTTAGTTTTTAGGAAAATTGACGGGTTAGAATATTTAATTTACAAATAAAAAATACAATTAAAATTGAGGTCCCAATTTTTACGCTCTATTTTAACGGTAAATGTTCCCTCGCTGTTTTTGGAAAACCGACGGGTTAGAACATTTAATTTAAAAATAAAAAATACAATAAAGAGAGGTTAGAACACTGACGTGGCGTACAAGCATTAGAATCATATCACTAGAATAACAATGATCAGCTATATTCAAGTTGTAACGTCTCTTTTGGATTATCAAAGAGGCTTTTGAGCTATTTAAACGTCTAATTAGTAACTCGTTATGTCTTTAAACATTGTTTCAAAGTTTTTTCCTATTTTTCAACGTCTCATTACCAACTCTCCGTGTCTTGTTTCCTTGTCTCAAACCTTTTTTGATACAAAAAATGGATGCAAATCTATTGTTCGTTATCAATGAAAAGTATGTACATTTCAATGGTTTATATCGTTTTAAACTAAGAAAATCTGTTAACAAACAAAGGTTGAATGGTTACTTTCACATTCTTCATGATCCCATATACACTAACCCCATTAAATAGTTCTGGATGAATGCTTCCGTTGTGCCAGCTGGTCATGATGAAGTCATCTAATCCAATGTCAGTGGCTCTTATTTCTTCATTACTCCATCACCGGTTGCTATGACAATCAACTGTCAAGAGACATGTAGTTGTGTTGAACATTATGAATTTAACAATGTCTACTCAACCCAACTTCGTCGAATTTATGCCAACCAAAATAAGCTCTACAGTCTTGCTTATCTACTTCCAATTGCACAATTCTGATTTCAAATTCTAGTGGCAAATCTCCGCCCAAGAGAGAAAGATCTGGAAATACTTACTTGGCATGACAAACATCTCTTGTTATTTCTCACCTACAACATCAAAGTTAATCTTCCTCTGACCATTTTCAACTTCTTGAAGGAAATGATAAAGACTTCTTGGAAGAAAATGACTTTCCTCATACTTTATGGAAGAGTTCTTTATGAAATTTTCTATAAGTTAGGGATAGTTAGGGGTAATGTTGAAGTTGAGTGGACTGAGAAGCTTGAATTTGTTGAATAGTTTTATTTGTTGTATTGTTTTTTATTATCAATGAAATATTTTTGTTTAATGATAACAAAGTTTTTGAGCATTACTAATTAACAAAAAAAACACGACATCTATAAAAGACGCAAAATGATAAATCATTGAAAAAAGTTTTAAACGTGGAAATAGGAATTCAAAGTGAGGTTCCTTATAAATATTTTACATCGCTTCTCAAGAAAATTGAGATGACATATTTATTATTTTTTTTATGGATAAAAAAGGCATCAACTTATAGTTGTGCTATCTCGATTTTTTATAACGCCGACGTAACATGTTGTTTATCTTATTAAAAAAATAAAACTTTGCGCTCTCAGGATATATCCTCTCGATTTTTAACAAGTTAAAGATGAAAGCTTTATCATAAAAATATTATTCATTGTAGTGAAATTAGACTCATTAAAAAATAGATAGAATAGAAGAACACATTAAATGATATTACAATAATCACATAGAGTGTTACCATTCTTTTTTAGTCAATACCTCAATGTAGATGAATTATTTAGCTTTTTGAATAAGAGAGCAATAAGCATTGTAGATGCTATAGTGAGTTTTGCTTGTTCCAGTCAACCACTAGTTGATGCTCCTAATAACAACTAGTGTAAAAGAAAAATAATAGGATGCAAATTACAAGAAAAGAACAAATTAATTACATGATAATGCCCCCTTTTAATGTCAAATTTTCAACAATATATGAAATGTCATATCCTGCAGATCATAGTATTTATGTTCCATGTTAGAGATCTAAGTAAACTTGGCCTTCACCTACAGTTAACTATTACCAGTTGTAAGTTTGTTATAGGGTAGTTAGATGTTGAAACTGTAACGGTGCTATATGTTGTAGTGTGTATATAAGCCTTTTGTAAATTGTGTACAGTTAAAGTGAAAATAAAATAGCTCTCTTATCTTTTCTCTGCTTCTCTCTTTCCTTTTGTGTGGTCTATATTGAAAGAGATGAAACTCCATATTCATCTTCAACATGGTATCTTTCACTGGTTGCGATCTTCCAATTCTTGTAATTCTTGTAATACTAGCATTCGATGGCATCATAGATTAGGACATGCTAATTTCAATTCAGTTAGAAATATTCTTAAATTGTGTAATATTTCCATATCTAATAGAAGTGATTCTTTGTTATGCATATCTTGCAATCTTGGTAGAGCACATAGGTTACATGCACCCTTAACCACCACTGTTTATCCTAATGCTTTTGATATAATATATACTGATCTGTGGGGACCATCTCCAACTCCCTCTAGTGTTGGTTTTAATTATTATATTTCTTTTTAAGATGGGCTCATTAGTTATACTTGGTTGTACTTTCTTAAACAAAAGTATGAGGCTTTACATGCCTTCAATCTATTCTATATGTTTGTCAAAACTCAGTTTCAAGTAACTATCAAATTGGTCTAGTATGATTTTGGGGGTGAGTTTCGACCATTTACTATGTTTTTGATAGAACTTGGTATAAACCATAGAATTACCTACCCTCATACCTCACACCAAAATGGATATGTGGAAAGAAAACACAGACACATAGTTGAGATGAGACTCACATTGTTAGCTCACTCCTACATACCTCTAACCTACTGGTACCACAATTTTTCTACTTCTGTATACCTAATAAATAGGTTACCTACCACATCTCTATCCAACTTTACATCTCCCTTCCATGCTCTTTATGGGAAACAACTTGAATACAAGTGGTTGAGGGTCTTTGGAGGCTTTTGCTTCCCTCTTCTTAAAACATATAACGAAAACAAATTGCAATTTAGAAGCCAAAAGTGTGTGTATCTTGGAGTTTCCACTCAACACAAAGGCTTCAAATGCCGAAGTAGAGATGGTAGAATCTACATCTCTAAAGATGTAACCTTTCATGAACATGAGTTTCCTTACCCCAACCTTTTCTCCACTGACTCTAGGCCTATTCATCCCTCTGAGCACTCTAGTACCTTAGTTGCTCTTATTCCCAAGTCTGTTAACATAGGGTCTCATTTTGTTCTCTTATTTGTTCATAATTCTGTCAATAGGTCTCTAATAAGTGGTAAGACCAACACTCAACAAGCTACTCCTAGTGTTAATAACCATGGCAGTCAAAATCAACTTTCTGCCTACAACCCTGCTTCACCTCACTTAGCTTCAAACCAAAGTTTTGTTGTACAAGAAAGTACACCAGGCCCTGTAATCACTGATAAGACAGGTCAAACTTTTAACCCTGCTGAACATGCTAGCACATTAGGCCCCACTACTACCTATCAAAATAAAACCAACCAGAGTTCCACTAAGTACAACACATGTTCAGATTTGTGCCATTACCCAAAGGGTAATTCTCACTCCTTCTCATCTAAAGATATGAGTCCTGAGGGAAATATCACTCCACCTGTTTCTGAATCACATAATAAGTCTAACTCTCCCTCAAATTCCAACACTTATGGGAGCTTTCTTCAATTTCCTGTTTCCTCATCATCTCCTTCTATTAACCAAAGTATCCCACATGTCCTTCTTCAAAATGCCTATCCTATGCTCAATAGAGAAAAGACTGGAAAATCTAAACCTAAAACCTTCATGGCCCTTACTGAGTCTGAACCTACCAGTGTAAAACAAGCTCTTACAAAATGTGAGTGGGCATAAGCTATGCAAACTGAGTTTGATGCCCTCATAGCCAACAATACTTGGACACTTACCTAATTACCTGCACACAGAAAAGCAGTAGGTTGCAGGTGGGTTTTTAAAGTCAAAGAAAATGATGATGGTAGCATTCAGAAGTATAAAGTAAGGCTGGTGGCTAAGGGCTATCATCACTAACAAGGGTTTGATTTTACTGAGACTTTCTCCCTAATTATGAAACCTACTACTATCAGGTTAATACTAGCTCTGGCCTTAACTTACAAATGGGGTATTCAACAAGTTGTTGTCAACAACACCTTCTTAAATGGCTCTCTTCATGAAGAGGGTTATGACTCAGCCTCCTTGGTTTGCTAATGCTGATAAAACCCTTATGTGTAAACTTCACAAAACCATTTTTGGGTTGAAACAAGCCCCAAGGGCCTGGTATGAAAAACTGACTCTTGCTCTTATTCAATTTGGGTTCACTCACTCTAAGTGTGACCATTCTCTATTTGTATATCAACACCAAGGCATTTCTCTATATATTTTGGTGTATGTAGATGATATTTTGATTATGGGTTCTAGCCCTAATCTTATTTAGGATCTAATTAACAAGTTGCATTCTGAATTTGCCTTAAAGAAACTAGGCAGACCTGCTTATTTCTTTGGAATTGAGGTAAAGTTTTACTCTAATGGCTCTCTTATGCTCCTATAGTCTAAATACATCAAAGATCTTCTCTCAAGAGCCAACATGGAGAATGCAAATGGTGTTCCTACACCTATGTTGAGCACTTTCAAGTTAAGTAAACATGGGATAAACCGTTTCTCTGATCCACAACTATAAAGGTATATTGTAGGAGGCTTAGATTTCTCTGTTCCTACACCTATGTTACTTTGATAAGATCTATAGATTTCAGTGTCAACAAAGCTTGTCAGTTTATGGCATGTCCTCTCGACACACATTGTTCAACTGTTACAAGGATATTGAGGTACCTTAGTGGCACAATGCATTGTGGTATGCTATTATTTTCTTCGACTTCAACTCAGGAGTCCTCTCTTCGTGCTTATACTGATTCTGACAGGGCCAACAAGCCCGATTACAGACAATCAACATCCAGTTCAAGATTTCCGTGACAAACTCAAGGTCGTTTATGCAATTCACTCCCCTTGAGCTTGAGGGGGGTTGTTAGAGATATAAGTAAACTTGGTCTTCACTGTTATCTTACGGTTAACTATTACCAACTGCAAGTTTGTTATAGGATAGTTAGTTGTTGAAACCGTAATTGTGCTATGTGTTGTAGTGTATAGATAAGCCTTGTGTAAACCGTGTAAGGTTAAGATGATACTAAAATAGCTCTCTCTTATGTTTACTCTAATTATCACTTTTCTTTTGTGTGGTATATATTGAAAGATATGAAACTCCATATTCATTGTTGTACCTTAAAATTTTTCTTTTCTTTTCTCAAGACATCTCTCACCAAAATATCTCAAAGGCTCAAGGATTCTCAAAAATTGATCAGATAACCTCACCTCCTAAGCACTGGGCCCAAAAGTAGGGTTTTGGTTTTCTCAAGGATAAATGAACTTTTAATGCCTCAAGTGACTTTTATGGTTCATTATAGGTCTCCAAGAATACTCGTGCCAAGTTTCAAGTCCTGCTTCACAAATTTGCTCAGTCAATTGCTGAGATGATTGGAAATTAGCTGTATTGGATAAAAAGTCAATTGTGGCCAACATATAGTCAAACTTCATGATTTTTTTTGCCAACATCAACATTTTTAAGTCATATTTATCAATTGATCAAGGATTGATCATAATGCCACAAGAAAAACATTCAAATCATCAAAGGGGCAAAATTGTCAAAATTAGGGTTTTTACTGAGAATGACTGATCATTGACTTTTGACCTAGTACATGACCTGATGACTTGGAGTATGATCTCAAGGACTCAAAAACAACATGTTGACCTAATTTCATGGCTCTATTCATTTCTCAAGATCAATGGATTGATAGTTAAAATTTGATCAACTAATACACAAAAAGTCAAACTTTGACTTTTCGATCAACATTGAATTTCAAAGATCAAAATTCATCAAGACGCTCAAAAATATCAAATTTGGTCCACAATAATCAAGAAAGTCCACAAAAAGTCAAAGTTTTCAATACATAGAAAAATTCTAAGTGTTTTTTAACCTTGATAATTTCACTACTTCATGACAATTTTTCACCAAGATACATGATGATTCAAGGAAAAATTTCAACATGAAAGTTATAGATCTTGATGAATTCTACAACTTGGTCCCATAGGGTTGATGTCCAAAAAAGATTGAATTTGAAGATATAGGCTCATGAAGTCATGACTTTTTATCAAAAAACACTTAGTGAAAGTTTCATCAAATTAGGCAGATTTTTTGTCCCAACTTCTTGGAAAATTTTCACCAATTTCCAAGTTTATTTAGCTAAAATGGTAAACGTGAAGGTTGTAGATAATGTTTCAAGCTTTCTAAAATGTCAAAGAACTTGAAGAGATCATACTTGAGCTAGGAGAATCGAAGAGAAGAAGTTGGACATCCGTTCTTGAATTATAGGCCATTTTCATGAAGAACACTTGAACAAACCTCAAGCCATGCTACATAAATTTTTCTTTACAGGCTTCTAAATTACATATCTATCCATAATCAGATGTTTACACAACTATTGAGCAATTATCCAAGCATTTGAGTCATTGTCCAAGTGATCATTTCATTTAGGGAAGAAAGTCAAGACTTTCATTTTGGAAACGTGGCTTTAATCACAAAGTCCATTCTCCTTGAGCCTTGCACTTATTTCTTCTGAGCATACACAATGTCAAAGCCAAGAAGCAACCATCTACAACCTATTAACCAGCATACAAGCCCTTGTACTTTACATTGAAACCATTAATTTCAAGTTTACTTCAAAATCAAGTCACGTAGCCATAACATGTGATTCTTGATTTCTGATTGCTAGAGCCTTCAAAACCACCCCTATATAAATAAAAGAGTCATTTGCAAGCTAACACATGAGTTTACAAGCCCTCTAACCCTCTTAAACTCTCTCAAACTAGAATTTTCACAAAAATCTCCATAACTTGTCATTCTTGACTTTGAGCACCAATCTCACAATCCACTCATGCATTTTCACATTTAATAAATCACAAAGCTTTCATACCTCATATAAAACTCATCCCCATCCCTATTTCAGCACTGTAACTTCATCTTCATCATCCTCCATTTCTAAATATTCAAACCTGCAACTTGACTTCTTCAGCACGATTCACGCACTTTCAGCATAAAGTAAGAGTTGCATTAGCTTCCTAGGAGTCCAGTGAAGTTATCCAGATCATCACCACACTTCCAGGGGTGCTCAAACTACATACACAATTTCCAGTTTTGAGGTAAGTGTTTTCCACTTTGAACTCTCTCTACAAGCATCATTAATGGTTACTTTGTGAATGAAAAATGTAGACATCATTGCCCTGAAGCTAACCATGCCTTTAATTTTCATTTATGTTGCCTGAGTGATGTGAATTTTGAAGTTGAACTTTCTGAAAAATTAGGTTTTATTTGGTACCAAACAAAATTTATGTTCACCTTTGATTTATAACTTTAGTTATTTACATGGTTGAATTCATGTTGAAAAATGGAGCAAGTTTCATGTTTACACTTTTGAAAATGGTTGAAAAATGAGCAAGTTCAGAATTTCAAAAATGTAACAATGGTGACTGAAGAAAGGTTAGGGATGAAGTGCAATCAGGAAAAGGTTTATTTTAAATTTATTACAACTTGTCTTATAAACGGATGAAATAGCCATCCTAGTGGCAGAGGAAGCACGCGTAAGACATTAGTGTATAGGGACATGGGTTCGAGTCCCAATGGTACCCTTTTGTTTTTTCATAATTTTTTGTTTTAGATTCTATGCATATAAGTCATGCGCGCCTAGCATGGGCTTCATACCATCACCATCAGACATGCAAGCAACAAAGATCAAACGTTCCACATGTGTAGCCCATGATGCATCTCAAAATGCCAACAATACTGGATCAACCCAGGTGCTGGACTCTCCACTTTGGACCTGATTTATTTTTGATCTCACACCCCCTATTTTACTTTTTAAGCGCATGCCCGTTCATATATATTTTTATTTTATTTTCTCTGATTTCAAAAAAAATCTGTTTGGGCCTAATAAAAAAAACTTTTTCACACCTCTTTTATTTTTTAACACCAGGCCCAATTATTTTTATTTCTTTTATATTTTCTTTATTTTCATTTATTTATTTATTTTATCTAAACCAAAAATACCAAAAAAATATATTTTCTTAATTAAATTAAAAAAATGTTTTAATTTAAGTATTTTATTTCATTTTATTTTATTAGATTAAATTTTATTATTTCTTTTACATTGTAAAACATTTTTCTAAATTAACATCAACTTTCAAATTATTTTATAAACAAATTGTTAAACTTAGGTTTACTTTCTTCTTAATTTCAATTAATTTAGATTATATGTTTTTGTTAAAATTAATTAATTACTCTTCCAATTAAATTTAATTAGCTTGATTATGTTAAAACCTTTTTCCATCAAAAATCACACAAAACATTTTCTTTATTTCTTGCTTCCTCTTTACATTTTTGTACATTCTATTATTATTCATATTTAATAGTTTGTAATAGATAATTAGGGTTTTATTGCTTTCTTCCCCTATTCACAAAACTTATACCCCCCCCCCCCCTCATTCCCAAAGCGTTCTAATATCATAGAGTATTTAATTTCCGCAATTTATCGCTTTCCTTATTATTATTGTTAGTAATTAGTGTTTGCATGACGAGACTTAAAATCAAACATTAGAAAACCCTAATACAAGACAATATACATGAAATCAATACACCTTACACACATGCACCTCTAGAGTAACCCACACTTGTTGCCTCAGATATAAACAGTCATGTCCCTCGAACGTGAGATGTTTTAGCAAAGACCCTCAATTAAAAGATCGTAGTCCCTCTA